AGTATATAATCAAAATGAGCTTAAGCAATTCATCAAGCTCTAGGAGGACCAAGCAACGAGCAGTATATTGTGATTGTAACCTCCTACGCTTTATGTTCACCACATAAAATGGCGACAATATTGGCTGCAAATTTTATAAATGTCCTAGAAATCTCATTAATAAAGACTGAAATTTTTTTCAATAGGTTAATGAATATGTTACACTGGAATGAAATGATGAAAATATAGCGACATCTAAAGACACGGTAAAGAATGATCTTAAAAAGCTGAAATTTCTTGTGAAAATTTTGTTTTTATTTGATTTTGTAATTGTATTATTGCTTTTATTGTTGTTGACATTATTTTTGTTTTGGTGATGATGTAATTTGAAGGATAAACTTGCTTCTTTAGGTGTTTTTGTTAGGCACGCTAGTCTATCTGGATGTAATGCAGTTTATGTTGAACTTATATTTATATGATTATTTTGACGGGAGAAATTTGGATTAATGTTTGTCTTAACTTCTCTCATGGCAGTGTGTTCGAAAAATAACATTAAAAATTATCATTGAATTGACTGAACTGGATACACTTTAAAAAAATAACATAAAAAACAGTGCTACTTTAGGTGTTTTTGGTAGACAAACTCATCAATTTGGATGTGATGCAGTTCATGCTAAACTTATATTTATATGATTATTTTGTCTGAAAAATTTTGAGTTAATGTTTGTCTTAACTGCTCTTATGGCATTGTGTTCGAAAAATAACACTAAAATTCATCCTTGAATTGACTGAACAAGAAACACTTTCAAAACTATGTTTATCAAACATTTTAAGCAAAACCGTGCTTCTAAGCTAAGGAAATTACAGTTATTATGTCTACAGACAGCGCTTCCAGAACTGTGTTTTTCCAAGAAACCAATTACTTCTGAAACACCAGCTTTTAAACAACATATTTTCAACAACAGTTTCTCAAACCAGCTTTTCTACAGCTGCAAACAAACACAATATTATTATAAATGCTATAAATTTAGGGACCTTTACAGACACGCACAACTCAACTCTTATGTTCTTACATATATAATTCCTAAACTTTGATTTTTATATTTATACCACCCAAATCATTCATATCATACTCAACAACACTACTATTTTAATTTTTTTAAAAGGTGAAATACATCTTTCCATACATAAATAAGATGACATATACTGTAAAAATTAAAGTTTAGGTGTTAGACATGCAATACATAAGAATTGAGAGAGAAACATGTAAATCTATGTTCCAACTAGGAAAAAAAAATGATTGTAAGATATATTACATTTAAAATTTTTGTTGTTGTTGTTGTGTGCATCTGTTTGCTGAATTGTGAGATGGAGCAGGTGTGGAAGAGATGACTGCATTGCAAGAGCATATCACCGATGCTTTAGTTAATTCTTGATTCCATATTGTTTAATTCGGGTGGGTAAAAAAGCAAACAACTAGAATGAGAACTCGATAGTGTGCATCTGTTTGCTAATGCAGTTCTAGCTTGACATTTATAATACAATTAATGAATGTACATTTGGCATACAAGTTTTTAAAATTGTTGGGGGCACTTGGAGACATTAACCTTGAATCATGAACATCATGGTTGTCATTCTAGGATCTGTAAATGAATAAAAATGCTAGTTATAACTAATATGAGTTATTTGCAAAATAGTTTACTCATTCATAGTGCTTCACTCTAGTATTATTGAAATTGGTAAGTAGCAATTTCTTACTTTTTATATGAGAATCTTGAGGCGGAAAGGACTGCAATATGCCTTTTTGCCTCCTCCATGGCTTCTAGGATATAATTAGCTTACTTGAATGGTTAATTGTTCACTTACCATATGACATTTTTTTTTCCTCAAGTGTGTATGAGTTTTAAAGCTCATCCAAGTTTTATATGCAAAGAAATAATATTGGATTTTACTCTGCAAATTCAAAAGATCTGAATAAATGTTTTTCAAATCCGTGTGGTATGTTTCTGTTTCATTCAAATTTAAGTTACGAGGATGTCATTGGAATGTCTCAGTTCGGACTCTACTTGCATATAATATGATTCTACTACGCTTAGAGACGAGTATGGTTACGTCCCTTAGAATATGCTTGCATATAATAGTTACAATTTATGGTATTTGTGAGAGTTGTTTTTTTTTTATGCATTCTTTTCTTGTCTAAGGCTGTGTGAACTTGATTTATGGGAAAAAAAGGCATTGGTTTTTAAGAAAGATTGGCATGCATACCACTCAATTCATATGTATCTACATATATATAACACCTTAATTTCAATGTTTTTAATAACTTGTCACCATCTATGCTTGAATGGGTTTATTTCTCTTTTTAAAACTTAGATGATGGCATTTCTCTAGATATATGAAAGATTTTGGGTGGCTTAATGGTTAAAAAGATAATAAGAAGAAAAGTTTAGATGTTAGGTATGTGAATATATAGCAATTGGATTGTATGCATGTAAACGTCCCTTATTTAGTTATTGAAGGAAGGGAGTTTTGGGAATTCAAAACAACATTGCTTTGCTTGTTGTTATTGGTGTTCAGTTCGCTTTGCTTGTTGTTCTCGTGTGCTTTACCTGGAATGCATTAGAATGTTATACCTGCAATTCTTTAGAATTGATCAGTTTTGTGCTGATCTTGCTATTTCGAATTTCGGGATACTACTTTGCTTCAAAATATTTGATGTCTATACAAATTGCTTTCTTTGTTAGTTCAGATTCGCTAATTTGTTCAGATTTCTACTAAACTTTCTCTTTTCATCGGGTTGTTGGTTGAGATATGATGTTCTCCAACCATTGCATTAAAATTCAACCGTATTTGTAAATATTTTGTCCTAAAATATTTACAGTATTTGGAAGGTATTATAATACATTTTTCACCATGTAAGTTCTGATTTCATTTGGGTTGTTCCCTCGATTTAGGTAGATGTAATTGTCATGCAATTAGATAGGAAGGGTACTTCTTGTTCAACTTCTTGATACTTGTTATTAAGGTGGAAGTGACATGCTTTGTACAAGGATTGGATTTTGATATTCTTCAGCATTTATGTGTCAAAAATTGATTGTTTTTGTGGTTTGGTACAGACTCTTTATTCGGGTGGTTGGTTTTAAAAGGACTGTGATGAGTAATCTGACTTGAGGGGTCCTTTTGGATGACTGATCTTAAGTGTTTTTGCCTCTATTGCTTTCTTCTAATGAAGATTATTTATCTCCATATGTTTACTCTGAACCAAGGGATTTGATTTCTCGTCGAGCCTATGATAGCCTACAAAAAGTAGATGTTTTGTTAAGTATTGCTTTGCCTTCACATTTAAGAGTTCAGTTTGTTACTTGTTAGTGCTTACTTGGCATTTATTACAAAAATTACTGTGCAAATTAAAATTTTACAGGAGTAAATAATCAAAATGAGCTTAAGCAATTCATCAAACTCTAGGAGGACCAAACAACAAGCAGTATATTGTGATTGCAACCTCATATGCATTATGTTCACCACACAAAATGACGACAATATTGGCTGCAAATTTTATAGATGTCCTAGAAACCTCACAAATAGAGAATACAAGTTTTTTTAATAGGTTAAATCGAGATATGTTACCCTGGAATGAAATGATGAAAAGATAGCGTCATCTAAAAACACGATAAAGAATGGTCTTAAAGAGCTGAAATTTCTTGTGAAAAATTTGTTGTTATTTGATTTTGTAATTGCAACACTGCTTTTATTGTTGTTGGCATTATTTTTGATTTGGTGATGATGTAATTTGAAGGACAAACTTGATTCTTTAGGTGTTTTTGTTAAGCACACTCGTACATCTGGATGGGATGCAGTTTATGTTGAACTTATATTTATATGATTATTTTGACGGGAGAAATTTAGGTTAATATTTGTCTTAACTTCTCTCATGGCATTGTGTTCTAAAAATAACATTAAAAATAAACATTGAATTGACCGAACAGGATACACTTTCAAAAAATAACAAAAAAAATTGTGCTACTTTAGGTGTTTTTGGTAGGCAAACTCATCAATCTGGATGTGATGCACTTCATGTTAAACTTATATTTATATGATTATTTTGCCTGAAAAAATTTGAGTTAACATTTGTCTTAACTGCTCTTATGACATTGTGTTCGAAAAATAACATTGAAATTCATCCTTGAATTGACTGAACAGGAAACACTTTCAAAACTATATTTTTCAACCAGTTTAAACAAAACTGTGCTTTTAAATTGGGGAAATTACAGTCATGATGTCTACAGACAGTACTTCCAGAACTGTGTTTTTCAAACAAATCAATTACTTCTGAAACACCAGCTTTTGAACAGTAGATTTTCAACTTCTCAAACCAACTTTCCAACAACCACAGCCAAAACAAACACAACCTTATTATAAATGCTATAAATTTAGGAACATTTACAGACACACACAACTCAACTGTTATGTTTTTACATATCTAATTCCTAAACTTTGAATTTTATATTTATATCACTCAAATCATTCATATCACACTCAACAACACTACTATTTTACTTTTTAAAAAAAGTGAAATACATCTTTTCATGCATAAATAAGATTACATATATTGTAAAAATTAAAATTTATGTGTAAGATATGCAATACATAAGAATTGAGAGATAAGAATGTAAACCAGCTAGGAAAAAAAATGATTGTAAGAAAGAAGATTTGGACCAATATTAACATTAACAAACTAAATTAACATCCAAAATATTAAATATAATCTTTTAACCACCCAAATTATAAATATAACATATTAAACTTTTTTGTTTATATTACAATCACCATTAAGAAGCAGAAAAGTTTTGAGTAAAAAATTTAGACAGCTAAAATATTATATTTAAAATTTTGAATAAGTAAAATACTGTTTTCAATGTTTTAGATGGATATTATATAAACTTCAAAAATTTAATTAACTTCAACTTTCTTTGCTGACTGATTCAGATTTCACCCCCAACTTTGCTCTTCCATTCCACCACCAAACAAAGCCGGCCATTTCACGTTCTACAAAGCCGGCCATTTCACACCTGAATCCACCTCCCTCTGTCCCTCTCTCCAATGCCGAACCTTCTCCTCCCCATCTTCTCCATCCTCCTCCTCTCCACCATTCCTCCATCCTCCCCATCTCTCCACCGAACCAGACCACTCATCTCCAAATCAATCGACATCAACCTCTCCTCCTCCTCCCCACCACCTCCGACCACCTTCTTCGAAGTCAAGCGACCCATTCCCGTCCCCAAAACGCCACCTTGCTCCACCCTCGTCCTCCACCACAACTTCGCCTACACCTACGGCAAACCTCCGGTCACCGCCACCTACCACCCTCCCTCCCACTGCCCCCTCCTCCGCCGCCGCCCCAGAT